CCAATATTAAACAGGCCTGCATGGGTCACTGGGTGACGTAGACTGGGCCTTCAAAAAGATGGGCAGTTTGGGGCTCTAAACCCCCTATGTGATGTATGGGGCATCTCAGTGGAGCAGGACTGGGGCAAGGAGGCCTTTTTGACAGGGATGTGGCAGGAGAATGGGCTCTATGGTGGCTCTGTGCCTGAAACGGGTACCATTTTAACAGACTCAAGGCTTATCATACTCTGCCTGCTATCAGCTTTTGCAGGGCTGGCTGGATTAATGGATTTGGTAGATGGATCCATAGTTGAGACGTTCAAGTATGGATCCAAACATCACCGCAGCATTGAGTGGCTGAGATCCTGCACTTTGGGTACATCTAAACTACATGGCTCCATCGACGGAGCCATGTAGATTTGTTTTTTTGGCAAAGGCAAATGAAGCCGCGATTTAAATGATCAGCTGTTTGTCTGCTCAGCGCGCTAGTCTGGATGCTCCCCTGCCGGCATCAAAGCCCTTTGTCGGCAGCCCCGGTAAACCTCATCCCACGAGGAGTAACGGGGCTGCCGACAAAGGGCTTTGATGTCGGCAGGAGAGCGTCCAGACTAGCGTGCTGAGTGGACAAACAGCTGATCAGCTGTTTGTCGGCTCAGCGCGGCAGCCACGTAAAATTTGGCTTCATTTGCCTTTGCCTAGCTGTCTAATCTACATGGTTCCATCGATGGAGCCATGTAGTCTAGACACAGTCTTTGATTTGGACCCATCTCTAATTTAGAGCTTCCAAAGTTCTACAATTAGAGCTACTTCTGGGGAGGCATGTGGCTGTCGATAGCAGTTCAGTACAACCTTGCCCAACACCTTAGAGCAGGGAAGAGTAACATTCAAGCAGAGGCTTGAGTCTCAGGTTTGTTCAAGCGGCACCTACTACAGGACTCCAGGGAAGGGGGGGAAAGTAGACTGGAGGCTGGGTTCAGAACAGAGGTCATGCTGAATGCAGGCTCACTGTAGAAAAGTTCTATAAGGAATGAGACACTCATTTCAGAATGAGGAAGGTGAGCAGTAATTCTGAAAACAAAGGCAAAATCCCTGAGTCAGCTCTGTGGAACTCACAGCCTTTTTGTGTAATTCCTTTTCTCTTGGCACTGTCTGTGACAATTTAAAGAGCTGTAAGAAAACAAAAAGGAAAAGGAAAACAAAACCAAAGCCACCAGCCACAAAACATTATCAGTGGAGAGGTTACAACTACTATGGTCATGTGCTGAGGTCCGCTCCAATTTAATTAATCTTGGCAAGTTAAATGGAGCTGGGCAGGTCCCAAGAGGCAGCCAGAAATCCACTCAACCTAATTTCACTAATGTAGGGCAGTGGAGGGGCTTGGAGCGGGGCCTGCAATCTCAGCCATTAGGACGTGGCGTAGGCGAAAGCAGCTGGAAATGCCACCATCCAATGAAATGGCTGCCTGCCTGCCTAGCTCAGCTTTATAGCAAGCATAGCTGCATATGTTCAAGGTTCACTTGCCAGTGGGGTTCTCAGACACAGAGCTCAACCTTTCTAGGAAATAAATGGAGCACTGACAAGCAGAGATTTTTTTCCAAGTTAATTGCAGCAGGGCTTCCTAATTCAGCTCCATGCTTTATATTCCCTGGGACCCTACCAGGCAGGCCTGGTGCACAGAAGTGAGGAGCATTTACGACTGCCAACTAAGTTCATAGGGATGTAGGTTCTCAGCGCCTCTAAGAATCAGGCCCCCAGTTGACTCCAAGTAGGCAGAGAAATAAACTTCACATTCAATCTCCCAAACAACTCTATAGTTAAATGCCGGTGCAAATGCACCACGTTAATTTAAAGTATCACATGAAGGCTCTCAGGTGGCCCAGTGGATTTCTCAACCTGGTTTTCTCCTTTAAAATCTGGGATTAAAATGAGATTGAGCCTAATCGCTAGTCTGAGATTTGTCATCATTCCAGAATCACCACAAATTTGGGAAGAATAAAACAACAAAACAAAACCTGGCAGAGTGGAATCACAACAGGCTTGGATGGAGTCAAATAGTGAAGCATATTATTACACATCCTAATAAAATCCCAAAGCTATGGGGCACAAGGACTGAGGTGACTCAGCAGAGTTGTGCAGCGTGGATCAGAACCAAACCAATCATCACCCTTCCATTTCAAGCCCCTTTCATCTTCATGACACTACCCTTCTTGTTTCGCTTCCATCTCCTGGTACCTCCTGCTCCATGTTCTGACATACCCAGGAATCCTCTCCTCTCACTGTCTGGATGACATCAGCCCCTGTCTGTGGCAGGACCCCTGCCCATGGCTCACCAGAACCAGTAAACATCACCCATTAAGGGTGAATCCTACCAGCTGACCTTTCATATCCATAGCAGACAAAAGCATGGAAACTGACACAAATTCTAAGCCAGGCTCTGACATTGTGTAGCGCAGATGAGCCATGTGAACCATTATTTGCCTCAGTTTCCTCACCTCTGTAAAACAAAGTTGATTAAGTTAACGAAGTCAAAGTTGTCACAGCACGCTACAAGTTTTCATTATATATCGTTCCAACACAGGACAAAATTCCAGGCGTGGTTGTTATGTTGTTGGACCTGACTCACCCACCCCTAGCTCACTGTGTTTTTGCATGTACTTCTACTTCCCCCACTCAACCTGTGGATGCCTGTAAGAAAATCTACAGATGGCTTTGATACAGGAAACTCAGATGAGCCCTTGCAGAGTCTCTGTCACAAACAGATTAAGACCCTTCTGGTGACAACTCACCGCTCAGTGTTAGAACTCGTAGGTGCTACTTCCCTTTCCAACCGTGTGACCATGGCATATCATGGCTCTGCGTGGTGCTGCCATTTCTCCATTTTAAAATGCTCTGCTAGCTGGCATTAGAGAGGAGTGCAGGGGGGAAGAAAACAGTGAAATTAAAGCTGTTATAGCCTCAGGTTTAGTAAAACCCATTAAGATCACTTGACCTGTTTGGGCTCCCAACCCTGCATGTGATCCATTTAAATCAACAGCCTATTTCACTCCCTGTTGATGGCTGTAGTTGTACTAATTAATGTAAGGGACGCCTTGCAAAGCTCTTAGATTTTGTTGTTTAGTAGCAGGAGAAAGCCAACTTGTATGTGCTTCTGCTGGCTGGAAGTCTGTGGCCCCAGGGACTCAGGTAGGGTTAGTGGGCCAAGGTGCTGCACTGCTAGATTTTTTTTATGGCAACTATAACAGTAGGAACTTGTGACACATGGGTTGGGGGGTCCAAGCAACCCAAGTGCAATCAAAGCACTTAATTGGCACGAGAGGCAGTGGTGGTGGGGGGTGGCACACAATTTAAAAGCTACTGTTAGGGACGTAGGGCTAGGGGAGGTATTTTAAAAAGCTACATTAAGGGGTCTCGGCTCCTTGCCAAGGTTGGTAGCAAATGCACGTCCGCCTTAGCAAAACTGAGATAGTGGGCTCAGTCCAAGTCCCAGTAGTTGACTGTCCACATACTATCAGGCACCCCACTAATACATGACAGGGAGTTCTGGGCCAGAGAAAGAACTGACAGGTAACATGGGACAAGTGCCCCTTTACACCATGGGCTGGACTCAGCCTACATGCCTGTGTACCGGGAATGCTTTAGCAACAGCTCAGTAAGGGCCCAGTCCCTCAGGAGAATGGGCTGGCTGACCTAAAAGAGGGCTCATGCCAACTCCATCTACTTTGTCTCCCTATAAGCCTCCTCTCTTTCCTAGTTGCTTGTCTACTAGGTGTCTAGAACGTCACGGTTTGAAGTGCATTTCATTGTAACATTTCATGTGACCTGAGGGCTGGTGAAAATTGTCAGATGGCCTTGGCGTACAAGGGCCTCCAGCTATAGAATTGGCACAGCTCAGCTTCATAAGAAGTCCTAGCGGATGGATTAGAGAATGCTAATCCTTCGATAACTTCTTATAGCATTTCATAGTAGGGATGTAATCATGTAATCGATTAACTGATTAATTGATAAGCAAAAGCTTATAGGTTAATGCTATAGGCTACATGCATTTCCCTCCCCCACTCCCTTGTCAGTAAATTTTTTAGCAGGCTGGTCAGCAGCCCAGTTCAGTCCCAGCTCACGCCGGGTCTAGTACCTACTCCTGCTGCGGCTCTTAAAGTGACTTTGGAGCCAGGCGGGCAGGCAGCCCAGCTCAATTCTGGCTTGTGCTGGGTCTGGGAGCTCAGACCCCCCTAGACAGGGGCTGCTGCCACCCCGTGCTGCTGCGGACCAGCTCCCACCTGGCACCCTGTGCTGCTGCTGTCTCTGCTACAGTGGCTGCTGGCCCCACCGTTGGGGATTATGGAATCATCGACTAACCGATAAAAATTCATGAGGTTACCCAACTATTCAATTAACCAATATTTAACATCCCTATTTCATAGACAGTTATCTCCCTGCTAAAGAAGTCTGTACTACAGGAGTCTGGAATAATTTCTGCAGAACTCTGTCATGTATGTAGAGAGACCCTTGGCTTTATCCCTATCGAAGTCTATAGAACTTTTTCCTATGGATAATGCAAGCTTCCAAATGCTTAAAAGTGGAAGGTTCATTCTTCTGTCTATTTAATAGCAGACCGGGGAAAACATTAGCAAATGTATAGAGGTAAACCACCTATAACTGGCCCCAGGGGCAGGGTAGAGATTTAGGATAAACTAGGCGATCTAATGGGCGTGTTCCTTCGCTACATTTGTATTTATGTATGCTTGATTCACTCTTTTAGCCTTTCGGTTCTGGCTCCCTAATTCGAAAGCTTAATTAGTGCTTATCATGATGGTGTTGGTTTGTGTAAAGGTTACACCTGTCTGCTAGGCTCTGCATAATACAAATTAATTTCACAAAGGACACTCAGGTGCCAGCTAACAACTAGCAACTTTTGGCCAACTTAGGAAAAAGGACATGGAATCATTCAGGGCCCTGGCAACAAATGTGTGAAAAATACTCGGTAGCACAGGCAACTAATCCTCACCTCTCTCTTTCCTCACTAGATGCTGTAGAAGAAACCAAACCTACTGAAAGTGCCCAGCAGGAAGAGGTGAAAGATGATGAGAACAAGGCGGACCAAGAAAATGCCTGAACATTAAGAAATGACTCCCTTCTTCCCCTCTTTTCCTGTGCGCACCCCAATCTTTATTCCCTCCTCCTGCTCGCCCCTGTGGGCCTGTCCGTCCCTCCCCCATCCCATTTAAACCCTTTTACTCTCTGTGTGGCAAACATTTAAAGAAAAAAAAAAGCAAAAAAAAAAAAAAGCAGGAAAAATCCCAGTCGAACAGTGTGGCTTAAACATTTCTTTGTTTCTTGGTGTTGTTATGGCGAGTTGTTTGGTAATGATGATGATCCAATCATTTTGGGAAAATTCTTGCACTGTATCAGAGTTCTTTGATCTGGCGCGTGCGTGTGTTTGTCTGCCCGCCGCGAGCGCTCTCTCTCTCTCCCCCCTCTGTTCCAAGTGTGTGTGCAATGTTCCGTTCACCTGAGGAGTCCAGACTTACCGAGTGAGTTAAAAATGAAAAAAAAACAAACCAACCATTTTTCTTTTCTTCCTTTTTCAATGTGATGGAATGAACTAAAGAGAACAAAAAAAACCAAACAAACAACGGAAAATTAACCCCGTGTTTGTTTTAAAAAATAAAGCATCATGTGCCAATTAGCGTCAAGCGTGGCTCCAGGCTCCTTTTTCAAACTGAACGACAATGATAATAATAAATGAGAATAATGATCATGATCCCGCTGTCTTGCATTTCTGTAGCGCCTTTTGTCCGAACAGAGCATGTAGAGATACCCTTGCTGTGGGCAACTTGTTGGGTGGAGCCTCCTCTGTTCCAGCCAACACTACACAGCAGGAGAGAGAAGATGCCATCACAAACTACTGAGGGTATTTCAGGGCGGCTGGCTGTCATTAGCTTGGATTTTGGCCTTGGCATCATATTTAACGTACTGACTCCTGTATAAAACACACACAAAAAACTGAACCTACTATAGGACCCATAGGGTTTGAGCATGCCAGGCGCTCAACACGTCATGTTGAGATAGCTTCGGAGTGGCCACCTGTGGCCTTGAGACTCTGATCTGTGGCCCTCAATGGTGAGTGCATTAAGAATACAATCTATTTGATTCGGAAAGAACAACATGCGCCCTCAGCAGGCCCCATGTCATGACAAGGAGAGTCTCTTCACACCTCGTCCCTAGAGTTGCAGCTCTGGGGTGAGCCCCCAACATTCATTGGCTACCCTCTCTTCCGGGGGCAGCAACTCCTCTGCCACATTGTAGAGGAGGGAGGGGACTGTAGCTCTAGCTGCTTCACGGTCTAATTCCTTGCTGGGCAGCAGGGAGAGCAGCAGCAGGGCTCACACATCTCTGCCTCAGCTAGGGCTGTTGTTCAAGTATTAACTATACTTTGACATTTTAGCTGTTTGGGGGACTAGGCTGGACACAGATACAGGCTGTTTGTGACCATGTGGCCAGGGCTAGAGCTGGTAAAATAGCAGCCATCTGATACTATTACTAAGCAAGGGAAAGGCCCCCTGGTTTCAAATAAAGGGTTGTACATTTTTAGCCCCAACACTTAACCAGGGTCTAGGTTTATGGTCTCATCTAGCAGCTGGTTAGGGGCTTGAGTTGGCACAGACACAGACGGGAGAGGCACCATCTCCTGAGTCACTAGTGCCACTTCCTGCCAGGCCCTGGGTTTTCCTTGGAGATCACCAGCCGAGTGCTTCCTAGGGCCAGCCTTTCTTGATGAGATCTGACAGGCACATCGCCCCAAGCAGCGTGCCTGTCAGTATCTGCTGTTCTCGCTGTTCGCTGTAAGAGTGAGCAATTTAAATGCATGACTAAAAAATCTCCTTACCGCCCTTTCTGTAAACGCTCTCTCAATACAGTAATAATGCCTCAGAGGGGTGTGCTTTCACTGCCTGATTATCACCACCTGCTACCCTGCCAGCTCTTGCTGTGGGGCTTCTAGGCAACACTAGAAACACGAACCATGGTGCCCTATGCTGCTATTGTGCCATACTGCCCTGGACAAGAGATGGAATAACCAGCCTCACTGCTGGAATGCCCAAAAGAAAGGTTGCACCTGGCTGTGGAAACTCTGCTAAGCACAATGCACTTAGCAGCAGCTGTCTCATGCAGTGACAGAAGCAACCATTTCAGAACAATGGCTCACCTCTTCTGGTGGGAATGGGTGACAAGGAAGGGATCCCGTGATGATTATCTGTTCTGTTCATTCCCTCTGGGGCTATTTAAAGGTAAGCACCAATGTGGACACAAGAACAAATGCATCTAAACTACCCATCAAGTTTAGGCTTGAAATTAGACAAAGGTTTTTCACTAACAGAGCCGTGAAGTTCTGGAACAGCCTCCCAAGGAGAGCAGTGGCCGAGGGGCCAAAAATACCCTTCTACAACAGTGAGTCTGGTCAATTTCGTGGAGGGGGTGGGATGAGGAGACTGCCTAAAATGGCATGCAGCTGATCTGTGACTGCCACCAGCTAGTATCTCCAACAGCCGGTGATAGGACAATATATGGGAAGGACTGAGTAACTACAAAGAATTCTTTCCTACGTGTCTGGCTCGTGGGACTTGTCCACATGCTCAGGGTCTAACTGATCATCATAATTGGTGTCAGGAAGGAATCTGTTCAGATTGGCAGAGACCCTGGGTTTTTTTTCCACCTTCCTCTGTAGCATGCAATATGGGTCACTTGGAAGTGTAAATGATGGATTTTCAGTAACTTGAAGCCTTTACATCACAATCTGAGGTGTTCAACAAGTCAGCCAGTGGTTAGGGGCCTGTTACAGGAATGGGTGGGTGAGATTCTGTGGCCTGTAATGTGCAGGGGGTCAGAGTAGATGATCGTGATGATCCCTTCTAGCCCTGAAGTCTATGAGAAGCTAGTGACAAATGTCACCACCCTCACTCCTCGTTCATTTTTCAATTACTCTGCTTATATGGGAAATCCTCCATTATTAGATATTTTATTAATGAAAATTCTCCATAGAGCAATGCACAGAGAAAGGGCTAAGGCCAAGATTTGCAGGAGAGGTTAGTGATTTGAGGAAATTTGATTTAGAAACATCCAAAAGGGGCCTAATTTGGAGAAGGTAGCTGCTAAAAATCAGGTATGTTCGAGGCATCTCTAGTTGGCCATGCAAAACTCACTAGCCACTTTTAAAAATCCCAGCCTGAGGCTCACCTTTCTTGCTGCAGAAGGCTGTACTAAGGTAACTCTCTTGCCAATATCTTAATTTTTTTACACTCATCCCTATTCCTAAAGAAAAAAATGGAGGACAAGCACAAGGGTTATGCACCAAGTCCCTATTTTGAACAGGTACATTCACAGTAATGCAGCGGTGAATCAGGGCCAGAAAGGCCGTGTCCAGACTCAGGGGTTTTTTCGGGAAAAGTAGCCTTTTCCCGAAAAAACTTCCCCTGCGTCCAGACTCAAGCCACGTTCTTTCGAAATTATTTCGAAAGAACGCGGCTTTTCTTTCGATGGCAGTAAACCTCATTTCACGAGGAAGAAGGCGTTCTTCAATGTAAAGAGGCCGTCTTCGAAAGAGAGCATCCAGACTCGCTGGGTGCTCTCTTTCGAAAAAGCGGATTTCTCTTTCGAAAGATCCGCCTGCAGTCTAGACATAGCCAAAGAGAAGTGTACAGTCCATATAGGGTATAGGACTGATGTATATCTCATTGCTATAGGGAAGAAGCTGAATATTAGAATGCCCTATTTCCAAACCTCCTACTGAAGCCTTGGGAAGAGTCTCCTATCAATTGTGCTGGAGATTAGGAATTTGTCCTTCCTCAGCCATCTCCATCGTACACACATTTCCTGCATGCTGTCCTAAGGTTGAAAATGTCAGAACTTAACAGAGATTGTTCCAGAGAAGTGAAAACCATACAGATCTATATTTGAAAAAAATGGTCCAAACAGAGTCTCTCGCTGGTAGATACTGTATGCAATTATTTGCTCCCAGAGCCCAAGGTTATCCTTTGAGGAGCTATCCCCTTCCTTTATGATATTTTCCTGGGGGTACATAAAATGGAGTTATGTTCCTCTCAGCCTGGAGGGAGTCAAGGTCTTCTGCTGTGGAAATAAATCAGACTGCTCTCTTCTGGTTATATTATCTCTACACAAGCTCCTGTGCGGATACAGATATCTCTAAAAATGGATGCAATCTCAGGCATCCTAGTATGTATTTAGGAGGTGTTAGAAGGCGATTCTATATGATATTTATTTTGTATCTGTACTGCAAGAGTGCCTAGAGGACCCAACCAAGCTCAAGACCTCACTGTGCTAGGCACTCTACACATGGATTGTGAGAGACTGTACCAGCCCTGGTACATGCTAATGGCAGGGGGAGTTATGCATATATGCATGGCCACGCAGGCTCTGGAACTTAGCTGAGTCAAGGAAATCTGTGCTTGCATAATCTTAAAGAAATTCATGTCTAGGGAGTTCTTTAAAAATGACAAAACTCAACAGCTATTTGCTTGGGTCTACTGAATCGCCAGCCTTCCCACTGATTAGCATTATACAAACCCACCCAGCCAATCACCCAACCACCCACCCCACACACACATATTAAGGAAAATGTAAAGTGAACAACCAATTTACACTGCATTAATGAGAATAAGGCAAAAGAAACATCTGGAAAGTTCATATTTCCTTTCTGTCCCTGGCTGACTTCCTAATGTGTAGATCCATCTCCAAAATGCAGCCATTGATATCAGGGCCTAGCACTGTGGGACAAAGGCGAGGGGCAGTAACTGGAGAACACTATCTCTAGTAGAACTTGGCCAAATTACCTGGCTTAAAACTATGACCAGATGAATATATCAGTATATTCTTGAATGTATTCGTTCTGCCCAAACAACTTCTGCAAATAATTCATAGGCTCTAGTTTGTTTGCAAACAGTTTGCTGCCAGTATTTGATACTGAAAATGCAAAGTGGTTTAGACAAGATACCTAGGGTATGTGTCTACACTGCACTGTAGGTCGAAATAAGATTCATAATTTGAGCTATGCAAATTGCATATTTTATTTCAATGTTATTTTGATATGAGCTTATTTCAAATTTTGCCACTCTCTACACAGAACTTACTTCAAAAT